CAGAGTAATCCACTATATGGTCATGAAGCAAGACTTTTCATACCACTTTGGGATCATTCTCTGGAAGAAATGCAGGTCCGGGGAAGGACTTGTGCCTCCTCAGACCCTGTGTGGAACCCAGTCTGAAATTAGGAAACAGCAACAAGGGCCACATGTCTTAATTTGTCCCAGCTCAAAAATCCAAAGTCCCACCGTGAAATCAAAACAAGTCATCTGCTGCCAAGACAATGGTGGGACAAGCAGAGAGTATATATTCCTGTTCAAAAGGGGTTAGGTTTAGGGTTTGGGTACAGGTTATGCATTGTGTGTTATGGGTATGGGTTAGGGTTAGGGGTTAGAGGTTTGGGTTAGGGTTTGGGTTCAGGTTAGGGTTCTGGTTAGGTTTAGGGGTTCAGGTTTGGGTTGGGGTTAGAGTTAAGAGTTCAGGTTAGGATTTGGGGTCCAGGTTCAGGTTAGGGTTAGGGTTCATGTTCGTGTTGGATTAGCATTTGGGTTAGGGTTCTTGTTTGGGTTTGGGTTAGGACCAGGGTCAGGGTCAGGGTCTTACCTAGCTCCGCAAATTATGCAGTGTCACCTCTATTACCTGTTATTTATTACAAGGAGGTTTGTAAAACTGACCTGTATTCAGTGGGAGAGGGAATTAGATTCTTTCTTTTGTGGGAGGTTTTTGAAGAATTTGCAAGCATATTTTAAAACCACCACAAATGATCAATTTTGTTTTAGAGAGGTTTAGTTTCAGTTTCTGGGTGCCTTGGCTCGGGTCCTCTAGAAAGCAGAGTCTGAGGTAAGATTAATACATATGCTTTGTTTTAGAGGTACACAGCCAGGGCAGTGAAAGTAAGGAAATATGGAGGTGAGGCTGGGAGGGGGGTGGAAAGCAATTCCAGATGATGCATTTTCATGCTGGTCAGTGCTTCACAGCAAGCACAAAGAGACAGAGCAGGTGGCTTAGTTGGGGTGGTACAACCACGAGGGACATCTCCAGATACACTGGATGAGTAATTGTTCTTTGGACCAGTTCATGGGATGGAGAAAGGAGAGGAAGTTTATTGGACTAGATCCCTGTTGTATTAGTTTTCCATTGCTGCATAAAAAATTACCACAAACTTAATGGCTTAAAATACCATGAATATACCTGTTTATTAGCTCACAGTTTTGTAACTTCAGAAGTCAGGTGTGGTGTGTGTAGTGGGTTAGAAATCTTGATTCTCCTTTGATCTTAGAATAGGATTTTAAGGTAATGCATGAATGAGCCAAAAGATTCTTGATTAGGGGACAAGAGTCCACAGATAAGTTTGGAAAAAGCCATCTAATCAATTCTAATCACTGTTTAGGGATGGGATTGTGTACTTTGACTGTTTTAGGTTGCTGGTTTGATTTCGACTTGAATAAATATTGACTATTTAACCCACTGATTCTTCTTGAGATATGTTAAGGAAACGACTTGAATGCTGTTTAAATATGCTAAGGTGTCCCGACCCGCGGGATATTCAACACAGACCCTGGAGGGGGGAGTGGGAATGGGATGGAACAAGAGACATGAGAAATTGAGACAAGACAGTATTCTGATCAAGTCTCGTTTATTGGCTCTAAGGTTACATCTTATATAGGAAAAAGCAGGCATATTGTAAGGAGTTAGGAATGCAGGAATACGATAAGATCTTGAGAAGAAACAAAGTCAGAAAATCTCTGATGCAAAGCAGCCCCCAATCTTTACAAGAAAGCAGAAACTTGAAAAGAAATGAAAGGTCACTCTTGAGTAAACTTGCATAGCCAGGAACACAGTGCTCCAGGCACAAACAGATTATGAGGCAGATATCCCGTAAGCACAGACATCTGGCACAAGCAGATTGTCACGTGGGCTTGGTCGCACAGGAACGGGTGCAGGGCCATAGGCACACAAGAAGGGGTGTGGGGCTACAGGCTCCTGACACTAAGGAAATTGCTATAGGAAGTATATGAAAAAGAAAATGTTTACTAAGGACAAGCTGTTTGTTGGTGAATAACCTAGCTTTTTACAAATTACATCCTGGAATGTCACATTGTTAATTTACTGCTGTTACAATTTTTACACTGCCTGTTTTTATGTCCTTCTTTGATGATTGAATCAACTGATTTTTCTTGTGAAACTTTCTTGTCTTGTCAACAAAAAGAAAGGCTGATTTTGGATCAGGGCTGCTGCTCCCCTGATGGGTGGCAGTCCCTCCAGGCCTCATTGATGGCACTTTGAGTGAATTATTTCTTTCTCTTTTCTCCATCTCAGTTACACAGAGCAAAGTGTAACAGTGTAGATGTGTTTCTTGCTTGAGCCACCGCAAGGCTGAAATCAACGTGTTGTACTGGCTGAGTTCTTTTCTAACGGCTTTGGGGAAGATTCCACTTTCAAGCTCATTCTTGATGGCAGAATTCAGTACCTTGTGGTTGGAGAATGGAGGTCCCTGTTTCCTTGCTGGCTGTTGGCATGGGGCTGCCCTCCACTCCTTAAAACCACCCACATTCCTTGCCACATGTCTGCTTCTTCTTCAAACTTGCAATAATGAGTCAAATCCTTCTTGTGCTGATCTCCTAAGATGAGTCAGAGGAAACTCTGCTTTTAACACACATGATTATTAGGCTCCTCTAGATAATTTCCCTCTATGGACAACTACACCATATAGAAAAGCCTAATCGCATTAGCAAAATCCAGAATATTATAGTCCCTGGGGTTATGTATTCATGTACATGGGGGGCAGTAGATCTTGGGGGCCATTTTAGAATTCTGCCTACTACCCGTCCCATCCCTAAATCTGATTTTAAAGCCCAGGTTCCTCTGGGTATGCAAAGCTGCTTGATGGTACATAGAGACTAAGATAGTTTGGGGCTGACAATATAATGTCAATAGATGAGAAATGGAAATGAAACTCTTCCACACCTATTCTGCTCTTATGACTGTGTCAAAAAGAGTGTTCTGTGAATCCAGCACATGTTAAATGTTCAATAAATAGTTGTTAAATAAATGATGGGCTGGGTAGAGGAAAATAAACAATTTTAAGGGTAAATAGAAGGCAAAATGTAATAGGTAAATAGATTTTAAATGAGCACCTAGCTGTTTTAAAAGATATTTTCTATAGTTCTAGATGAATTACATTTCTGAGTCTGAAGAGAATAATAGGTGAGATTCCTGAAAAAACCAACTCAATATATGTTTGTGGCATGAATAAATTTTCATATTTGAAATTCATTGGTGTTCCTTTGACTACAGGACTAGGAAGACTGTACATAGAAACAAAAATAAAACAAAACAAACCCTAACTTGACAGCATATATTTGTTCTTGGTGACACCGTAGGGAAACTCAGAGATAATCTCTCTTACATTTCATTAAATACTAAGCATATTTAAAGACACACAGTTTTCAAATTGTGGGTTTGAGTAGTGCAAACGAGCTCATGTTAAAACACTTGAATTGTTTTTCAGCTAAATTAGAGTGCAAGACCTTGAAGGCAAGAATGTGTTTACTTTGTACTAGGCTGAGCTTCTATATACATATATATGTTTACATATATACACACGTGTGCACATGCACACATACATATGAATGCTATGCATTCTATTCAATAAATATTAGTTATAATAAATCTCCATTTAATTACACATGAAATGTCTCCATGATTAATTCAATTAACTAATTCAATCTAAGAAAATCCTTGTTATTCTTTAATTTGTGAATTATTATTATTTTTCCTTAGGAGGTAATCTTTTAATCCAGATTTCACAAACTCATGGTGTGAAATGGGTCCCCCAGCTTCCTCTAGTTAGAACTGCTCTTCACTGCTCATTGGCTGCCTGTGAAAATTTGACTGTAATAACTCCAACATTCCTACAAAGCTAGTCGTATCCACCCATGCTGTTTTGACTGCTGTAGCTGGTCCCGTGACAGCCACTCATCGCCAGGCTCTCCAGGCCACTGTAGCAGGCCTGGGCTGCGGACACCCCATGCCTTGCATCACCTGTCTGCTGTAAGCCCCGTTGCTAGCTCCCATTGTCGTCGAATTCAAAAAGTTCTATTTATCTATGCTACATGTTGGCCCTGTCTTTGGACATAGCTGCCACGGCTTCTTTGTTAGTGGCAAACTCAACGTCTGCTTTGCCTGTCACTCTTCCATCAGGGCCGATCTCAATGTGGACTCTCACAGGGTTGAGTGGAGAGAAGCTGTAGATGTTGTCCTCGGTCGCTTTGTATGGCAGCCCCCTCATGTGAACGCAGTGGCTGGTGGTGGACCATGAACTCTCTGTCTCCGTATCTGTGGCCATACAAGGGAACTACAAAAAGTTCATGGAAAAATAGAATGAAAAGAAAAATTAAAAAATATAAACTTTATTTTTCAACATAAGCTCCATGAAGTTCAAGACAAATTTGTAAGCAATGACACCAGCCATTTAATCCCTGCCTAAAGAATTAAGGGTCCTGGGAATTTTGTTGTTAATTGTTCATTTATCAAAAGAAACTATTTCTTCACCCACATGTTCAGAAACACAGAGTGTGACAAACTTTTATAAAAATCCAAGGAAAGTCTTTGCGTTCCAAAGCCACTTTGCACTCTGAAAGACACCAGCCTTCCTCACCTCAAAATCTTTCATGGAATCATAATCGCTGTAGAAATCTGCATTCGCATTCTTTCTTTCTTGGCTCAGCTGCGGCAAACTTAGAGAGCTACAACCCCCAGGGATACAATGAATGTTCCAACAATGTGAAATCGCAGATGCCCAGCCAGAAGGCCACGCATTTAAGGTATCAAAGCACTAGAAGCCATCGTAGTTATTGTTGTTCAACACCAATGTCCTCCCTGGCTGATGAAGAAATAAACTGAGGGTCCTGGAATTTAATCATGTCAATGCACTCTTTTTTACATTATTAACTGAAGAAAAATCAGTGCCCTTTAAAGATTTTTTAAGATGAGGAAAAAAAAGTCAGAAGGAGCCAAATCAGGACTGGATGCCTAATGATTTCCCATTTAAACTGTCATAAAACTGCCCTTGTTTGATGAGAAGAATGAGCGGGACCATTGCCGTGGTGGAGAAGGACTCTGGTGGAGCTTTCTCAGGTGTTTTTCCGCTAAACCTGTCTTTCTCAAAACACTCTCATAATGAGCACGTTATCATTCTTTTGCCCTCCTGAAAGTCAACAAGCAAAATGCTTTGAGCATCCCAAAAAACTGTGGCCATGACCTTTGCTCTTGAATGGTCCACTTTTGCTTTGACTGGACCACTTCCACCTCTTGGTAGCCATGGCTTTGATTGTGCTGTGCCTTCAGGATAATGTATTCATCTTGTTACAATTCTTCGAGGAAATCCATCAGGATCTTGATCCCACTTGTTTAAATTTCCATTCAAAACTCTGCTCTTATCTGCAGCTGATCTGGGCACAACAGTTTTGCTACCCACTGATTGGAAACTTTGCTCAACTTTAATTAGGGCAGGAACATGATTAATTTTTTTCCTCACAAATTGATGTGGATGGTCTGCTGCTGTGGGCTTCATCTTCAAAATGGTCTCGTCCCTCCTTAAAATGAGTTATCCATTTGTGAACTTCTGATTTCTCTGGGGCGTTATCCCCATAAACTTTTCGTAAAGCATCAATGATTTCACCGTTCTTCCACCCAAGCTTCACCATAAATTTGATGTTTCTCCTTGCTTCAATTTTAGCAGAATTCATGTTGCTCTGATAGGGGCTCCTTTCCACTGATGTCTTTCCTTCTTAGTGCCACAAACTGGATCCTGTTCAGACATGTTGTAACAAGTTAGTATGAGTTCACTGTGGTGCAACTTTTTGAAACCCACGTACAGTTTTTCGTAATACGCATTTTCCATTAACTTTCTGAAGACCCTTCATATATACCCTCCCGGTGCTTACCTTGCCTCCATCTACCTGCTAATTTCCTTTTCCCTTCAGTAAAATCTCATCAGAGGGCCTCTACTGTCAGTTCCACTCTTCATCATTAAAAGAGCATGATCCTACTATACATCAAGGATCGCCATGGCAAGAAAGAGAGCAAATGTTTTCTTATTTTCACCTTACTTGTTCCCACAACAGGATTGAACCATACCTTTCAAGAAACCCTCTCCCCACTTCACTCCCGTGATGCAACTCTCTCTTGGTTTTCCTGTGAATTCCTTAGGCACTCTTTCCCAGAGTCCTTCCTCAACCACTCCCTGTAGGGAATCACTGGGCTTGGGCCAAGTCCTCTTCAAGGTCACCTCACCTATTCCCTGGGGCTCCATGATCATCTCTGGACTCAGGACACCCACGTTCCCAACCTCAGGCTGCCTGAGGCCTAGACTGGTATATACAACCCTACTCCACAGCTCCTCCTCTGTACTGCAATGAACTCAGCACTTTTCTTCTTACAGCTTTCCAACTGCAGCATGAATGGCTTCACCTGCACCTAGAGGCTCTAGAAGGAAACTGAAGTAATCCCTGAACTGCTCCCTCAAATCCAATCAAATCATCAACTCTCTGGGGTGACCCCAATCTCCACAGGGCCCTCACCCCTAAATCCTATTCATTGCCTCTTGACTTCCTCAACAACAGAGGTTTCTCACAGCCCTAAGCTCAGTCCTTAACACACTGCCTGGCAGAGTAGGAACACAATTCCTTCCTCTGTAATGTGAATTAGCTAATTGTCATTTCCTTCTGTGTTTCTCTCATAACCTTCTGTTTTTTCAGGTCCTTTTTATTTCCTCATGTTTCTTTCTAATTCTAGTGCAAGCAGTCTATTCCAGGTTACCTTTATCTCATGTTTGAAGTTCTCCAAGTGTAAAGGCTAGCTCTTATTGCTACCTGATCCACAGCTCAAGTCACTGTTCTTGTGAAATGTGTATTGTCCTCTCTCAAGTGCTCAGTGGCTTCCCACTGGCCTCAGGACAAGGACCACAGGACTAATGGGGTCCTTAGGCCTGGCTGACTTTAGGCTGTAACACTGCTGTCTAGCTCACATCACTTCCTTCGTCCTTTTTCTCCCGGGTTCCTAGAATGAGCCAGGCTCTCTGCTCCCTCATGTATGTGACATGCATTTAACACACAAGGCTGATGCACATGGTAATTCTCTCTCTCCAAACACACTTTGCCCAACTTTCCATCTAGGTAAACCCGGCTAATCCTTCAAGTCTCAGATCAATACACCACCTCTCCAAAAGGTCTTCCCTTTCCTCACGAAGGAAATCTCATGGCTCTACACCCACACAGCACTCCTGCTGTGATTTAAAAGTGGTCTTCAAACAAATGAGAGGGAAAAAAAAAGTCTTCAAAAACACACTAAGAGCCCACTGAGGTTACTGTTTCATTGGCCACTGGGACCCCACCCTCAGCACAGGCCAGGCACAGCAGGCACAAGATTAGCAAGGGATTAACTGCTGGCCATGTGGGATCAACACCTTCTGTAAGAATGCAGCAGCCTAGCTTGGCTGAAAAGAACATGCAAGAAGCACGAAAGAACACCAACACTTCATGTGAGACTTAAAATGCCTGCTACTAATAACGTACACAACAGAATGTTTTGTGTCAGAAACAAAGTCATTTCCTCTCTGAAGGCAAGGTGAAGAAAGCATTCTTTTCCAAAACTCATACCTACACTTAGAACATTTATTCTTATTTTTACTTCAGAATTAGTCCTAATACGTTTAACTAAAACTAAAAGAAGAGTGCTGTGGAGTCCTGCTCCAAGTTAGATTTAAAGCTAATGACAATTTTTTTTTTTTTTTTTACTTTGGACTTGTAAGAAAATTTCTATCTGCTTGAATATAACAAATCAAAGATAAATAACGGAAAAATTACTTTCGTTAAAATAGCTCACCTTAAAGAACAACTGCGGATGCCTTCAGTGGGAGACACTCTGGTAGGTAATGAATTGTCCTAAAAAACAGAGCAATATTCACTAAGTGACCTCAGATCCCCCACATTCATCAGAGCGGGGTGGTGGCTCCCTGGGGCTGGGGCTGGGCTCCAAGCTCCTCCAGGAAAGAACTGAGTGCAGCTGCCAGGAGGTCCTTTAAACTCCTGGGTTGACACAATTAAATCTCACACTAGGTCCACCCTCAATCTATGCACAGGGTAATACAGAGGATGACAGGAGGGAAACACCCCACTTGCCTTGATGAGACTTGCTCAATTCCTGAGCTTCTATACAGAGAACTCTAAGTGGGACCAGGGCTTCACCCTCCTATACACCTTTGTGATCTGGAGAGGCCCTTCGAACATTTTCACCAGGAGCCCACTCTGCCCTTCATTTTGTAAGTGTATTTTAAGGCATACAGCCAGGAAATGCAAGTGTCCTAATTGCTCACAAAGTTCCACCCTGAAACAAAACCCCACGGGGGCCCCGGCCTCAGGACTTTACTGTGGGCTTTTTCGCTCTAAGACTTACCACCGTGGAGAGCAGGACTGATTTCTGTTTTCATCTAGCAGGCACCACGGCTCACAGCCACACAGTCCCCAATTCCACCTGAGGCTTAACAATGCAGAGGGCTCCGGGGAAAGTCCAAGGGCGTTTGTTCTGCACCTGAAATGGAAATTCGAGTGGCGAAGCATGGAAGCTGCGTCGCTGGTGTTGTGGCAGAAAGCAGGGAACAGAGAGGAGGGGAGTTCTGGAACTGCAAGGGGGTGAGGGCATGAGGAGTTGCCTAGGAGAGGGCGTGTTGGGTGGAGGGACTTCTTGTGGCGAACAGGAAGAGTAACCCTGGAGTGAGCTCCCCAGAACCCATGGCACTCATCGATTAGAAGAATTTAAGGAATATATCAGATTCACGATGCATGGGACCTACTTGGCTCTTGATTCAAAGAAGCTGGTAAACATTCACAGGACAATTGGAGATATTTGAACACTGACTAGAAATTTATGTAACCCAGCCAAAGAGTTCTAATGGAGTTCGGTTGCTCCTCGCACCAAGAGCCAATCAGAGAGACAAGAAAAGTGCCGGGAAGAAAGATTTTATTATGGGAGAACGGGTGAGCAAAGCAACAATGTCAGGACACCTCATAACTGACTAAAATTTATGTTTTTTAAAGGGATAAAAGAAATGCAGGTATGTGCAGGGAAGTAGTGAAGGGGGGATCACAGGGTCTGCAGCTGGCTTGGGTCAGAGGTCAGGGTTCCATGATGAACAGGGTTCTTGGCGTCAAGGGGTCTGTGGTCAGTGGTCTGGTGAGCCTCAAGTCCTTAATGTTATCCGGAAGCTGGAAAACTCAAAGACAAGGACCTTAGCTAAGAATCACTGGAAGTTTAAAGTATACAACTCAGAATCTTGACTAATGTACATGTCTAACACAATCTTTTCTAAGCAAGAGTACAGGTTAATAATCAGCTTGGCCTTTCATTGGAATGCCTTTGTTTCAAAAGGCTNTCACCAGGAGCCCACTCTGCCCTTCATTTTGTAAGTGTATTTTAAGGCATACAGCCAGGAAGTGCAAGTGTCCTAATTGCTCACAAAGTTCCACCCTGAAACAAAACCCCACGGGGGCCCCGGCCTCAGGACTTTACTGTGGACTTTTTCGCTCTAAGACTTACCACCGTGGAGAGCAGGACTGATTTCTGTTTTCATCTAGCAGGCACCACGGCTCACAGCCACACAGTCCCCAATTCCACCCGAGGCTTAACAATGCAGAGGGCTCCGGGGAAAGTCCAAGGGCGTTTGTTCTGCACCTGAAATGGAAATTCGAGTGGCGAAGCATGGAAGCTGCGTCGCTGGTGTTGTGGCAGAAAGCAGGGAACAGAGAGGAGGGGAGTTCTGGAACTGCAAGGGGGTGAGGGCATGAGGAGTTGCCTAGGAGAGGGCGTGTTGGGTGGAGGGACTTCTTGTGGCGAACAGGAAGAGTAACCCTGGAGTGAGCTCCCCAGAACCCATGGCACTCATCGATTAGAAGAATTTAAGGAATATATCAGATTCACGATGCATGGGACCTACTTGGCTCTTGATTCAAAGAAGCTGGTAAACATTCACAGGACAATTGGAGATATTTGAACACTGACTAGAAATTTATGTAACCCAGCCAAAGAGTTCTAATGGAGTTCGGTTGCTCCTCGCACCAAGAGCCAATCAGAGAGACAAGAAAAGTGCCGGGAAGAAAGATTTTATTATGGGAGAACGGGTGAGCAAAGCAACAATGTCAGGACACCTCATAACTGACTAAAATTTATGTTTTTTAAAGGGATAAAAGAAATGCAGGTATGTGCAGGGAAGTAGTGAAGGGGGGATCACAGGGTCTGCAGCTGGCTTGGGTCAGAGGTCAGGGTTCCATGATGAACAGGGTTCTTGGCGTCAAGGGGTCTGTGGTCAGTGGTCTGGTGAGCCTCAAGTCCTTAATGTTATCCGGAAGCTGGAAAACTCAAAGACAAGGACCTTAGCTAAGAATCACTGGAAGTTTAAAGTATACAACTCAGAATCTTGACTAATGTACATGTCTAACACAATCTTTTCTAAGCAAGAGTACAGGTTAATAATCAGCTTGGCCTTTCATTTGGAAGCTGGAAAACTCAAAGACAAGGACCTTAGCTAAGAATCACTGGAAATTTAAAGTATACAACTCAGAATCTTGACTAATGTGCATGTCTAACACAATCTTTTCTAAGCAAGAGTACAGGTTAATAATCAGCTTGGCCTTTCATTGGAATGCCTTTGTTTCAAAAGGCTGATTTGGAAAGCAGGAGAAGAGGAGGGAAATTCAGCTCTGATTCATAACTCTCAAACATATAGAAGGTATGTAAATGGGCACCAGGAGGAAAGAGAACACTTTAAGAGAAATCCTTATGGGGCCTCGGTTTCATTTATACTTATTTTAGGTGTGACAGAATTATGGGCTGTTGGGGTGCATGAACACATCCCTCAGGAAGGGTAAAATGGGGCTTCCTCCTGAAGCTTCCATGGAAAACTGACACCTAATCAGGTGCTGCACAGCTGGCCATGTTTGCTGCTCAGGGGACCACAGCATTCTGCCCTGGAGAAGTTGAGAACAGAATTCAGATGAGGAAGGGAACGTGACAACATACAGGAGAGGGGCTGTAGCACCCATAGTGAATCTACCACTTGTTAGACTTAGGCAGGTTTCAGGGAACAACAAGAGCTGGACAGAGCCATAGATATTCTAACGGGAAAAAAAAGGGCACTTTCAAATACTCCATTACAGAACAAAAAAGTTTCTTGTACTACAAATTATCGAGTTTTGAATTTCTAAAATAGCAGTGAAAGTGGCCTGGAAATCAAGTGGAAGAAATATCTCAAAAGAGACAAAGAGAGAGACAAAAGAAGTAATGGGGGAAAGATAGAATCTGAAGGAGATACTTTTTCCAAAGCAGTTTTCTCTATACTTTAAAATTAGGAGTCTTACCAACATATGCTTGGGATGTGTCTTTTTAGATATCCTGATGGAAACTACAGAGTTGAGCTTATCTTAAGCCAGGAAAATTCCCTTCATCTCTTTTCTTGCCTACATCTGTGTCTTTTTCTCCTTCTGAAATCCCTAATCTTCGTTATTTCTCCTGTCTCAGAAGGAATCAACCCTGTTAACACCTTGATCTTAAACTTCTAGCCTCCAGAACTGTGAGAAAATAAGTTTCTATTGTTTAAGCCACCAGTCTGTGGGACTTTGTATGGCAGCCCTAGCAAACTAATACCTGCTACCAAAACCAAAGACAGCACAAGAATACTAGAGACTTATGAATAAATATGAAAAATTCCCCTCCCAAAATACTGCAAAATACCAAACCCAATTGCGTACATCATGACCAGGTGGGATTTATCCCAGGAATGCAAGATGTTTCCACAAAAGAAAACATTACGGAATTAGATAGTGGTGATGGTTTCACAACTTTGTGAACATACTAAAAACTTATAAATTACACACTTAAAAAGGGTTAACTTATGATATGTGATATCAAACAAAAATGTGATAAAGATAGAAAACATATATTTGCCATTCATATCATTATTCTACTGGATAGCAGTATTCTAACCAAATACTACAAAACAGAACAGGGGCCTCAACTGGAAAAAGGGAGATGTCAATGATGGATCATCTTTGCAACTTTGAGACGGGTACATCTAGAATTAGACTTATAAGGAGAGTCAGTGTGATAGGAATTTCTCCTACTTATGGTATGTAAAGATTTTTGTAAAAGACGGAGCATATAGTCAGGAGAAAACTAACTGGAGTTTAGAATTTTTCACTCAAGTCTATCATTCTTTCCTTTAACGATTGGTTAGTCGTCCCTAGGTATCCGTGGGAAGTTGGTTCCAGGACCTCCCTGGGATAGCAAAATCTGCGGACGCTGAAATCCCTGATACAAGCACCAAGAGGCCCAGTCACTGCTCGACCCAGGGTATGGAGTTTCTCCCCTCGGATCCCGCCTCCCCAACTCCAAATCCCAGTCCTGAGGTCCCCGTCCCCAAAAGGCCCAGTCCCCGCTCAGTCCCGAATGTGAAGCCCTCCACCTCAGACCCCGCCTGCCTTTCCCCAGATCCCAGCCCCGCGGTCCCCACCCACAGTGGGCCCAGTCCCCTCTCGGTCCCTGGTGTGCGACCCTTCACCTCACGCCCGCCACCCGGCTGCCCACCTGGGGTCCGAGTCGCCACGCTCCCGCTCTCACACCCGCCACCCTCGGTCGTCCCTCCGAGCAGCTAGAGGACGGCGGAAGGCGGGGGACTCCGCAGTCGTCCAGAGGCAGTTCAGGCTTCTCTGCCATCACCGTGGAAACCCCCCACAGCGCGTCCCGGGCGGGGCTTCCGAGGGCGGGGTCAGGCCCGCGGCGGGCCCAGTACTGAGATCGGACCCGCGGAGCGAACGCCGCGTTAGCGGAACCGCGCCCGCTCACGGCGCTCCCGGGCCA